TCATAGTCTGGAAAAAAATGAACAACCAACCATCATCCTCCTACTCCTGTCATCTACTTCAATGTTTTTGCCAGTAGTAACATCTGGCTGTGGGTCATGTGACTCGTGTGATGTGAAAAAAATGTTTCCATTGCAGTTTTGCAAAATACATCTATTTTGATATTACTGAAAAACCACCTCATCCTAATACAAAACTTATCAAAAGATGCAAGTGTCTTCGAAAGTGGCACATTTCCATGAAGCAAATTTATTTTCATAATTTCAATTTTCACTTTTTGATGGTAAATAAAAAAGCACAGCTACAGATTCACTGCGATCTCCTGGATTACTTAGATAGAAAACTTTACCAGTTTAAATTAATCTGATTTTTACTGCATTGTTTGCTAATTAGGATCAATTGGATGTATGTGTGATTGGATTGAACCGATTGAAAAAAAATAAGTAGCTTTGACAAGTCCAATTCTAAACTTTTGAAAAACAATCCAATGTCTGAGACAAACTTCTGTCCAAAGAAAAAACACAAAGAACCTCCATCTAAAAGGAGTAACAACCATAAAAGCCACCAGTTTAGCTTGCTTCCAGCAGAACCAGTACAACCCTGCTGGTCAAAAGCAAACAGCTCTTAACAAAACCTTACACCACAACTCATTCAGCCAGCAGACTGTTAAGTGGCCCACTGGCAGAAAAAGCTGGTTCTTGTCCAGCTTTATGCTTTGCTCTTGTCTGACTCCAGAGTGGAATCAGCTGTCCCCAGTTACCTGTATTTGGACTGGTACATAAAGCTCTACTTCTTCTTTTTGTTTTGTTTTATGGTGGTTGACAGACAAACTGATAGTTGATTACCGTCACATACTGAACTGGAGTGTGGACAGGAGATAAACTGTGCTTATCTGTGCTTTGTATTAATAAACTAAATCCTCTCTAAGTTTGTATTTTTTCAAAATAACCTAAAGTGACCCTTTACTTTGCTGGCATCACTACCAAAAATGTTATCAATTGTAAATTTAGTATGAATTTTATTTCTTTCATTTTGGAACTTCCTTCTTTCTGCTTCATAAGCATTACATTCCATAAAAACATGCTGAACTATTTCAGGGAAATTACATTTATCATAAAGCTGTGCTGCATGTTTACTAATTACTTGAAGAGATTTATTAAGACCTATTGTGATACATGTATATTGATTCTCGTTTCCTGTTTCTTCATGTTTTCATCTCCTTGGTCACTTATGTCCCAGTTTCCTGCCAAATTTTCTTAGTATATCTATTTATTATCATATTACATTCATCTTTACTTATTGGAATTTCATAATAAATATTTGTATATTTTAATGCCTGTTTTGCAAGAATGTTTACCTCTTCAATACCTCTTCACTGCCACATGTGATGGAGCCCTAATGAAATCTCCAGATATTTCTTGTAGGTCAGGTTTATATAAAATATGATAAATCCTGTTAATAATGCACTTCCTTGTTGAGTTACTTGATTTAATGCTTAAAAGACTGCCATGCTATCAGATGCAATTACATATTTCTCACCATTATGTTTACACACATAATGGTGTAAACATTGAGCAGGTTTAATTCAAGGAAATTTCCAATATAGCATTTTACACAGTGCAGACAGACACATCAGTTCTCTTTGCTCCCAGTCTTTGTGTTAGTTAATTGAACCAATTGTTTTATTGTCCCATACAGGGTAGATTAACCCAGTTCAACTTTTTATGAAAAATACTTTTTCTAAGGTCAAATCACCCCAATGTGGCATGCAGTATAAAACCTAGGTTTGTTTTTTGAAGGGAGTAGATTAAAGTTAAGAATTGATAATACTCACAAGCAGTATTAACCTTTGACCTAGTAACATTAAATTAATTGAATTTGAACTAAACTGTTCTCCACAAGCTAAATTTCAAAGAAAAACTTTTTAAATGTAAAAACATTAAAATATTTTCTCATCATGTTTATGGTCCAAATACAGCAACTACTTTCCTGAAAGCCGAAGGTCACCTTTTGGGAACTTTCTTGGAATTTACTTTTCCTGAAACTTTTCCAAATACTTCCATCCATCCATCCATTTTCTACTGCTTTATCCGGGGTCAGGTCACAGGGGTAGCAGCTTCAGAAGGGAGGCCCAGACTTCCCTCTCCCCAGCCACTTGTTCCAGCTCCTCCGGGGGAACCCCAAGGCGTTCCCAGGCCAGCCGAGAGACATAGTCCCTCCAGCGTGTCCTGGGTCTTCCCCGGGGCCTCCTCCCGGTGGGACGTGCCCAGAACACCTCACCAGGGAGGCATCCAGGAGGCATCCTTACCAGATGCCCGAGCCACCTCAACTGGCTCCTCTCGGCGTGGAGGAGCAGCGGTTCTACTCTGAGTCCCTCCCGGATGACCGAGCTTCTCACCCTATCTCTAAGGGAGAGCCCAGCCACCCTGCGGAGGAAATCCATTTCGGCCGCTTGTATCCGTGATCTCGTTCTTTCGGTCATGACCCAAAGCTCATGACCATAGATGAGGGTGGGAACATAGATCGACTGGTAAATCGAGAGCTTCGCTTTTTGACTCAGCTCTCTCTTCACCACGACGGATCGGTACAGCGCCCGCTTCACGGCAGACGCTGCGCCAATCCGCCTGTTGATCTCCCGCTCCCTTCTTCCCCCATTCGTGAACAAGATCCCCAGATACTTAAACTCCTCCACTTGAGGCAGGACGACCCCCCTGACCCGGAGAAGGCACTCTACCCTTTTCCGGCTCAAGACCATGGCCTCGGATTTGGAGGCACTGAGCCTCATCCCGGCCGCTTCACACTCGCTGCAGATCACGATCTGATGAAGCCAACAGGACCACATCATCTGCAAAAAGCAGAGATGCAATCCTAAGGCCACCAAAACGGATCCCCTCAACACCTCGGCTGGTCAGAGATTCTGTCCATGAAAGTACTGAACAGAATCGGTCACAAAGGGCAGCCTTGGCGGAGTCCAACTCTCACCGGAAACGAGCCCAACATACTGCCGGCAATGCAGACCAGACTCTGACACCGGTCATACAGGAACCTGACAGTCCGTATCAAAGGGCCGGGTACCCCATACTCCCGGAGAACCCCCCACAGGGCCCCCGAGGGACACGGTCGAACGCCTTCTCCAAGTTCACAAAACACATGTAGACTGGTTGGGCGAACTCCCATGCACCCTCCAGGACCCTGCTGAGGGTGTAGAGCTGGTCCAGTGTCCCATGACCAGGACGAAAACCACACTGCTCTTCCTGAATCCGAGGTTCAACTATCTGACGGACCCTCCTCTCCAGGACCCCTGAATAGACCTTACCAGGGAGGCTTAAGAGTGTGACCCCCCTGTAATTGGAGCACACCCTCCGGTCCCCCTTTTTGAAAAGGGGGACCACCACCCCAGTCTGCCAATCCAGAGGAACTTCCCCCTATGTCCATGCGATATTGCAGAGTCGCGTCAGCCAACACAACCCTGCAACTGCTTCCCCCTCCTGATGATGGACCAGAATCGCCTCAAAGCCATACGAAAGTCTTTCTCCATGGCCTCTCCAAACTCCTCCCACGCCCGAGTTTTTGCCTCAGCAACCACCTGAGCCGCATGCCGCTTCGCCTGCCGGTACCCATCAGCTGCTTCTAGAGTCCCACTGGCCAAAAAGGCCCGATAGGACTTCTTCTTCAGCCTGACAGCATCCCTCACCAAAAGTGTCCACCAACGGGTTCGAGGGTTGCCGCAGCGACAGGCACCGACAACCTTGCGGCCAGGGCAATGGAGGTACGGAACATGGTCCACTCAGACTCAATGTCCCCCACTACCCCTGGAACATGTTCAAAGTTCTGCTGGAGATGGGAGTTAAAGCTCTGTCTCACAGGGGATGCCGCTAGACGTTCCCAGCAGACCCTCACAATATGTTTGGGCCTCCCAGGTCTGACTGGCATCCTCCTCCACCACTGAAGCCAACTCTCCACCAGGTAGTGGTCAGCGGACAGCTCCGCAACTCTCTTCACCCGGGTGTCCAAGACATACGGCCGCAGATCCGATGAAACAATGACAAAGTCGATCATCGAACTGCGACCTAGGGTGTCCTGGTGNGGAGAGAAACAACTTATCATTACAAGAAACCGTTTATCTGCCGTCATTGATAGCTATGCTAGCTAAACTGAGCATTCACAGTTTGAATCTGCACAGCTCTGTGCTATGCTAGCTGCAGAATAGCACAAATCGAGGGGGAGGAAGGATGAGCAGCACCACATGAGATTGTGATTGACAGCACTAAAACTCTCCAGCCTCTGACTGGTTGTTTCTAGCACTGGGAGAAAGCAGAGGAAATAGATTTTTCACAGATTACCTCTCACGCCATACTGTCACAACATAATGACAGTTTTAACAAATACGTGAAAAAAAATATTTATATAAAAGTTACTGCAGCTTTAATTTCACTCAGGAGAGGACGGGTCAGGAGGGACGTGGGTTAGAGCTGCTGCTGACTGACTCGTCTATTAAGTGGTAAAAGGTACAAGGGACAAGTTCAATATATGAATATGTTGGTAATTTCTTTCCTTAATTCATTAAATGCTATGGAGGCAAACGGTAGTTTGTAGCTAAGCTAAATATGCTAAATGGTTGATAATCTCACACAGTCCATTCACCTCTCTTGGAGAAAATCCGGGTTATAAATTAACACTTTCCTTTTATTCTCTCTCTCTTCCTTTTTTTTTTTTTTTTTTTTGAAAACCTGATTTTATAACTTTTCTTAGCAGCAGAGTAGCTGCCACAGTCGTTCTTGTTTTCCACTGTCTGCTGCTAACAGCGTCACTCTGAAGCTCCAAGCAGGAAAGAACCATTTAACGCAGACAGAGGGTTTCAGGGTAAATATGGATGTGTTTTTTGGTCTGGGAGTGGGAACATTAAATTTTTACTGCTAAAAACAATCTTTGAAAATACTAAATGATTAATTTTGCAAATTGATAGGACTCCGATTTTTTTTTTTTTTTTCATTTCTATGAACAAAAAATTAAATTGTGGAGGGCCCCGTCATCACTTTTTCTCCCTATACTTGCACCTGGCATAAATAAAACTGCTGACTGCTTATAATAAAGTCAATCTTTGATTAAAGGTTAGATAATCAGAAGTAGTGGCTTCAGTTCTGCATTGCCAGTTTCCCCCAGCTCCAAAACGAAGGTAAATCTGGGTCAGAGGTCGTGTGAGAGACCGCATGTTTTCCTGCTAAGTTTATTTTCAGAGATCACAACGTTTGGTGGGAAGTAAAGTTTCAGTTCCTACTTTGTTTGGACACCTCCTTTATAAATGACACCCCAGCCTCGCCACTGTGCCGTGAAATGAAGCAATGTTCTTCCTCAGCCCGGTATCAGAACCAAACCAAACCCAAATCCTGTTTTCTCCAGGGAGCGAGTGGCGCTACGTGATTCTCTCCACAGTCTGCTCCGTTCCCAGTGGGGAGATTGAGAAGGAACCGGATGGCGCCTGGATGTCCAAACATGTTGGCTTTGTTGGAGACCCCCACCAGATCAACGTAGCCATCACCAGAGCCAAGGAAGGACTTTGCATCATCGGTAAGGAGGGGACTGTGGACGAGAGCAGGGATTCTTAACCTTTTTTACCTTGGGGTCCAATTTTTCCAGTCCAAAGTGACCCAGGGCCCATTTATATACTAACCATCTGTTGGTTTACCAAGTTGACCTGGCTTTTGTTCAGTATAAAAAAAATCAATCCATTGGTTTACCATCAAAAACATAGAATAAAATTTCATCATAATGAGATAATCGTAAGAAGATTTATTGATCATTTGTACGCAAATCTGCACATAGATCACCTGAACAGGCCAGAAATTCATGGAACGGATCAAAAAGCAACAGGAGTAAAATTCTGAGATGAAAAGTTCTAGAAAAAAAAAAAACAATCTGGAATTGTAAAATTTAAAATTTTCAACTTTTGAAACTCAGAAATACTTTAGTAAAAACAGAAACTTTAAGATTAAACAAGTTTCTAAAAAATACATAGAAATTTCTAAGGTTTGTGGCAGAAATTGTCATGGGAGTGGTTGGTGGTAGTGAGAATGAACGCTGACGACCCAGGTAGTGATGAAGATGATGATGAATTTAATAAAGAGAGCTCAAACACAGGCGGTAGCACACAGCTAATTACCAGTAGCAACTGAAAGACAGAAGACTGAAAACGAGAGCTGAACCAACACAGGACTTTACAGTTCGCCTGTGGTGGGAACAGACAAATGACACAAGAGACAACAGGTGGGACTAAATACACAGGGAGGGTAATCAAGGAATGAGACACACCTGGGAAGCAATCAATGGGGAAGACACAGAAACAACAGAGACTCAGGACAGAAACTGAACACAGAAAAACCTTAAAATAAATACACAGAAACACGGATCATGACAGTAATATGCTAAATTTTTATATCTATGGTGGCTCTGCTATACTACGCCATCAAGAGAACTAAAAAAAACGTGGATTTAGTAATAATTTTCCAATCATTTTGACCACTTAAAACATTTTCCACTAGAGCCACATCCACCCATTCTCTCACATTTACACACTGATACACAGATCGGTGGACAACTTGCTCAGAGGCACAAATCAATCTTACAACCAATCAGAAGATGGTTGTCTTGTGGTTGGACAAGACAACCGTCTTGTCTTGTGGTCTCCTCAGATAAAGGTCTGCTACCGGTCCAGTATCTGGTCCAGAATCAGATCCATCTTTAACTCTGCTTTCTTCTTCCCTTTTCTGGGAAAGGCAACCAGAAGCTGCTGCAACTCAGCCCTTCATGGCGCCACCTGCTGGACTACTACTGTCTGCACAGCGCACTGACGGATGCAGAGAAGATCTCTGTCTGAAGCCGATCGTCAGCTGGGACGGAAACCATGGAAACCACAGGACTCTCATGTGTCACTGCTTTATCCACTTTCCAGACACTTTGGTGATTTTACATAAATTATTGATGTCTGTTTGATGAATTTCTATGTAAAACTAAAAATCATGTTTGCTGAGAATATTAATGCCACTTCACAGCTGAGCTGACCCCAGGGAACAAACGGGTCCAGTTCTGATTCTACCCTGGATGAATTTATCCAATCACTGATCTCAGGTTTTTATGGTTGTGATGAATCATCTCTGATGATGTTTTACTTTAATTTAACAAGCATTAATTTTAAATATTAATAATTGTTGCTTTTGGTCTCATTAAACTGGGTTAAACAACTCAAATGTTTCTGTTCATTTTAAAGCTCCGCTCTGGACCAGAACCTGGTTCTGGATCGGAGCATTTACACTGTCAACAGCGTCGTTGCTAGGCAACAGGAACTGGTTTCAGACCGGATAGAGATGCTTTTGAGTCGAGTGCTATAATCTGTGGGATCAAACATCACCATGGTTACAACAGCATCTCCCTGGTACGACCCGACTGCTGCGATTGATGTTTTCAATGTTTACTATTTATTAATGATTAAATAAGGTGTAGTTAGTATAAATGCTGCCAATGGACCTTCAGTTCCAGCGCCGCCATCTTGGCGATGAGCTGCAATACTGCTACACTGTAAGCCAACCATTGTGTTGGTTGGCTTCTTGCTGCCACTAGCTTACAGGTTAGCGGCCATGTAGCTATCATGCTAGCATGATTAACATGGAAGTTAGCGACTTCTTGTCCTCAGATTTCTGATTGAGGCTTCTGGGCTCCATTTGCAGCCGGACGGCTCCATGTCTCCAGGTAACAATAACTGTTTAAGTTTCTCACGTAGGAAGTTTTTGAACCACGATTTACTCGTGATCTTTCACATTTGCATCTCCCGATGAGAAAGTCAAATGTGGATAATATTTTTTATAAAATAATACCTTAAGAAGATAAATAACCTCAAGTAGAATTAAGTTTGTGCTTTATGAATCCATGGTGTGTGTCTGATGTCTCACTAATGTTGCAGTTCTGCTTCCTGCCTTGATTTCATTTTGTTGGTCACCCCCTTATAGGGAACAAACAGGTCTGCTTCTGATCCGGTTCTGATCAGACCGGATCAGTACTGGTCTGATCCGGTCTTGTCTCCTGCTCAGCAACATTTAATATAAACATTAATATTCAAGCAAAATACCTTTAAATGTTTTAATTAAATTAGAACACAAGTAAGTCTGAATCGCATTAAGAAATATCGTTAATTTATGAGTCTGTGTGAACCTGCAGCTATCTGTTACCATGGTTACATGGTTAGATTTATTTACCCTCTCTGTCCTCGTTAGCCAATCAGCTCTGGTCTTTTCTCCCAGTATTTAACCTCAAACCATCTCACTCCTTACTGATTCTCTCGTTAAACCTGCCGGCCTTTTGCTGCTCGGTTCCTCTTTGTTTTATTCTTTTTCCCTGTAAGTTTGAACCCTGACTCAGCAGAAACCCTGACTCAGCAGAAACCCTGACTCAGCAGATCTAAATAAGCGAGTCGCTGACGTTGGTTCTGACCTGGAGTTCACGGGTCCAGAATTGTTTGCTTTTCTTATCTCTCACCAGCAGACGATAAAAGTCCGACTTCGTTCCACTCGGATCACAGTTTCTATTTTCTGAGCCTTTTGGACCCAAAGAACCAGAACCATGAAGGTCTACCTGCTGCTGCTGCTGCTGCTGCCGCCGCTCTGCTCTGGTAAGAACAACTCTGCATCCCATCAGGACCCATCAGAACCAGAACCAGTCAGAATAAGCAGAACCTGGAAGTATTCGGTCAGAAACAATGTCCTAGATTCTCCAGAGGCGGTTCTGGTCGGGATCTTCGGTACCAGATTCTGCGCTGCAAAGCAAAACATTTAATGTTTGTAAAAAATGATTGAACTCAACATTACTGGATTATTGCCATTAGATCACCAACAGAAAATAAATTACTGAAATGAACCACCAAAGAACCAATAGGAACCAGAGGTCGCTTCTGAATTGTTCAACAGAATCAATTAAAAAACTAATTAATGAAGCAGAACTGGAGAAAAACGAAAAGATTAAATATTTTCACCACAGAGATGCTGAAGCATCCAGCTGGTCAGACGGCCTAGTTAAAGGCCTGATGGCAGCTTAAAGGCCGATATGAACCTAGAACAACCCGCAGAGAAATGAAAGGTCAACTCTAAAAGTCAAGCGTCGTCTTTGGGCCACAGTGGATCCATGGCAGATTACCAAGGAGGAATAATTTCCCACAATGCAATGTGACGAACCCCAGTGCATTGTGGGAGAATGTCCTCTGGACAGACCTGCCTGGAGAGGTTCTGGTTCTGAATGGCTCAGTTAGATCTGGATGTGGCAGAGCCGGATCCGTCCAGGATGATTCTGCTAAATGGGTCAGAGCTTAAAGGGCTTTCCAGGTGTTTTCCAGGTATTTTCCAGGTGTTGTGCTCTGACGGATGCATGAATCAGTTATTTATTTATTGTAGTTTGCAGTCAGGAACAATGAACATCTGTGGTGCCCTCTGGTGGTGAAATATTGCCTCTGCGGTCCAGACTGCTCCGGATGTTCAGGGTTGGCCGGGTTCTGTCTGATTGTCCTGTTTGTTCTTCAGCTCAGCAGTTCCACATCAGCTGCTATGGAGAAGACTTCCTGATGGTGAACAACCTGCTGCTGCAGTGCACTGGGAAGGTCCAACAGGCCTGCTACACCAGAGGTGAGTCACTCCTCCTGACCAGCAGAGGGCGACATCGGAGAGGAGAAACTGCCGTTTAACAGGAAGAAACCTCCAGCAGAACCAGCATCTGGATCAGCTGATGGTTTTAACTTTATTTAGTGAACTTCTTGATAAGGAGTTCCAGACTGAAGGAACAGATTCATGGATTAGATTATAGATTATCAGCTTCACTGCTGGCCAGGAAGTTTATCATTTATTCCAGAGATTAAAGGAGGAAATCCTAGAAATTAATTTAATTTGGGATTTAAACAACATCCTGCTCAGAAATAACACAGAGATACTTTACTTTGGCACCAGATGTTCTGGACCAACTGGTCCAAAACAACCCGACCTTGTCTGGATTTGTAGCAAGACCTGACCCTAACACTGGGTCTGACTGTCAGGTTTACATGCAAACTGGACCGAACCTCAGTCCAGTCCAGCAGAGGTTCTGATGGGTTTTCTGTCTGCAGATAATGGAGAAAAAGGCTGCACTCGGCTGGAGAACTGCTCCCGACCCGGTTGGACCTGCTGCTACACAGACCGCTGCAATGGAGACAAGAACTAGAACCAGACTGGAGGTCCAATCAGAATATTCATCCGGGTCCAGTTAGAACCTGGGCCCATTTAATGTATTCCATACAAATAAATAAACAAACTGTTGGTTGGATCAAAGGATCAGCATTTTGTTTCTCTACAGAACATCTCGCCAATAGAACCAAGCTGACCCGGTACCATTCAGACTGCAGGAGAACCTCAGAAAAACCCAACTGAAAGGTTCTGATGAACACAAGTAGTTCTATTAGATCAGAAAAAAAGGTTCTGTTCTGCTTTAGGTTTCATTGATTGACCTGTTTCTGAACACTCAGGTCCAGACATCGAGTCGCCTCGGTTCAGAACAAAAACAGGTTTCAGAAACTCAGAACCAGAATGTTTGGGCAGGTCTTTCACTGAACATCTCCAGATTGGGTCTGAACGGACCCAACTGGTTCTGGACAGGTCTTCGGCTGCCCACAGGTTTGGCTAACAATGATCTGAGTTCAGGGTAGCTAACCCCAACTAGTATGTGCTTCAAAAACCAAGATGAGTAAACCAAAACAGACCCATGATGAAAGTCAAACTAAGAAGAGAAAATTAGACCGACCTCGAAATAAGACAAGGTTAAACATCAAAGTGACTTTTCAAAGGATTCAAAACAGATCCAAAGTTTGCCACATTTCCACTCAACAAGTAAGTATTTCTTCTGATTTCCTTTGTGTTTAATTGAAAAAACAACTAAGGTAGTGACAGTTACAGTATCACTACTGGCGACGCAATATGACTGTAGCTTGATGCAGCACGGCAAGAATGTTGCTGGATGATTAATTTTAGCATTAGCTAACTCGTTCAACATCAGAATAATTATTGATTCAATATCTAACATGTTGCGCCACATGTGGCCAATATAGGCATATTGTATATCCACGTATCGGGAAAAAGATCATCTAAATGATAGAAACAATATTTTCTACCTCAACAACACCCAGCTCCAACACTAATCAGTTTTATGAAAAAAAAAAAAAACATAACTGGAGGCTAATTAGACGCTAACGACAGCGCAACCCGGTCCTGCCCACACAAACTACCAATCAGATTAAAGCCAAGGCTCTGCTGTTTCCAACAATACCAGAGTCAACATGCTATGTGCAAAACTCAGAACCAAAAAAACACAGCTGTTAACCTTTCCTGATGAACCTCCAAACTTCGTGGGAGAAACACAGGGGAGCTCCTTCTCGCTCCTAGGCTGAAGTGGTTCAGGGTTAACTCCCTTCGTGGTCCACAGCGTGTGGTGCGGCGAGCAAGAGACAGTCAAAGGTTCCTTCGGAAGCTGAACGTTTATTTATAGTGCGGTAACAAAGCATACCACTAACTGAACGATCTCCAAGGAACTCTACTTACTCTCATAAAGCTCTCTATCCCGAACATGTGTGTCCCCTGCTGGTGTGGCGGTGCTAGTGCAACACAGCTAATTTCGTAGAGAATTTCACGAAGCTAAAAACATAAATTCAGTCCTACATTTTCTCCTCCTGCTTTCCGAGGGGAAATTATGGAGAGGAATCCCAAACAGCTGACACGGCGCGACACGACGTCCAGCGGACATCGGAGATGATATGTGGAAACAACATTAATGTTTATTCAACATTTCGTACAAATATAGAAATGACAAGGAGAGGAGTTGGAGCCAAATTGCTACCGCAGCTGATAAACCCGGTAAGTTTTCAGCTGTTCTTCGTTAACGTGACATAAGAAGGTTATAATGATTTTCATTCAGTCAGGACTTTCTGCTGACTCTAGCCACATGCATTGCAGATAGATTCTAGTAAAGCATTGATTAATGCCTGGTTTTAAAATTCGTTACTGGACTTGTAGCCATTATTTTGTGCCCATGTGGCTGGACACCACACGGCACGACGAACCCGATCGAACCGTTATACTCAGGATTTCTGTCGGCTGATGTGTCTCAGGTTTTGAAAATGGACCGACAACTCGTGTGGTGTGCGCTGGACATTTGACTAAGGAAATGAGGGAGGGTCAGTGCAGAGCACCGGAGTTGAGCATTTTTTCAATTAGTGTCATCAACAGAAAGAAAAAAAAGGCAGGAAGAGACGATAAAGCCGATAATTAAAATGAGGTCGATAGGTTTAATTTATCGTGCGATTAATTGATTTATCGTTTATCGCACAGGCCTATACCCTATCGCCTCCTGACAGATTTTTCTGTATCTCTGGGTCCGTTCAGCCCAACAGAGCCCTTTCAGAATTTGGCTGGACCTTTTGGACATGGAACCACCGATGGTGAGCAGTAATCTAAAGAGTACATTTAATATATGGCATTTTCTGTTTCTGACATCATCACAGCGTCACTGAACAGACAAGGAAGAAGCTGGCTGTCACCATAGCAACGTTTATTTGCATTGTGTTGAAATCTTCAGTACAGTCTCCCCTCTGACAGGAATGCATGAGAGAAGACGATTGGCTCAAAACAGTCACATAAAAATCATCAATGAGGATCAATGAACGCAAAGCCCACCCCCTTCACGTGACCCCGCCCCCAACCTGAACATCCAGGTGAGTCCCTGAACTCCACAGAAGCCCTTGAGAGGCAAACATAGAAAAGATGAGTCAGTAATAAAAAGGCAACATCGGCCCCCCCACCCCCTCCGAAAGCCCCGCCCCTGAATGACATCATCGACACATTCAACAAAGGCCTGAAGTGAAATGGTCCAGAACAGACAAAAGCCCAGCAGTGAGTCACTGAGAGCAACCAATCAGAGCACAGGCCCTCCCCTTTGCTGTCGCCTGATTGGATTAGAGATGCGAGCTGAATGTGACTGAGGTGCTGCCCTCTTGTGTTGAGCAGAAATATACACACAGACATCTGCAGCATATACAAACAACACAGATCCTTTATGAACAGGGAGGGCTCACTCTGATCAATTCGGCTCAAGATGAACTGGGATTTCCAGCAAAGTGGGAGGCTTCGCTCTGATTGGTTCTCTGTCACAGTTTTAACCTGAAGGTCACCTCGCCAAACAAGCACTTCCTGTTTCATCCTGTTGGCAACAGTGTGAAGCTTCTGAAACCCAAACCAGTGGATCTAGAACCTGACGGGTCACAACCGATTTAAACAGACATAATTTTTAATAGAATGTCCCTTTTCTCTGTTGTATTCATTTAGACTGAAACTGAATGTCGTCTGTGGCTTTTCAGAATAAAAGCCTGTAGCTGTTTGCATCCTTCAGTGATGTTTTAATTCACAGATTTAAATTAAATTGATTTTCACTGTTTTAACTAAAAAGCTGCAGATGGTCGTTTTTAAGCAAAGTTAGAAACAAAACTGAAATCTTCCAGGTTCCCTCTGATCCACAAACCTCCTGTTAAACCAAAGACTTCCTGCTTAACCTCGAGGTCGACTCGTCTCACCGGAGGAAAATCGGACTGTTTATTTGGGAAAACTTATTGTCTTGTTTGACAAATTCCTCCCCTTCATCCCCCTGCTGCCCCCTGTGGCAGACGGGAGGATAACAGGTGCCCCTGTTTGGGACAGAAAAAGGTCGAAATGTTGGACATCACAGGTGTGTCAGGTGTTAACCAAGGGTGCACCGTGCTTAAAAGCAGTCAATTAATAAAAGGATGAAACTCCTCCAATACCAGTGGTTGATGAGAAATTACATAACTCCAGTCAAACCCGAACATCCCAGACAGCTGCAGTGTTATTCTTTTTCACTGTGTATGGGAGTGTCCAAAATTACATCAATACTGGAACTCAGTTACGCAAACTTTGTCAAAGATTGTTGGAGTGGATGTACCTGCTGTGTTTTAGGTATTTATCCAGAGAACTGTGTTTTTGGCTCCAGTTAACATGGATTGACTTTGGACTCCTGCAGGCCAGGAAATTAATATCTGATGGACAAAAAATGGACATACCGTCAAACCACATGTGGGTGAAGGAGACGACATCATGTGGCTCTGGAGCGACTCGCTTTTATTGTCAGAGGAAAGGGAGTGAAATTTGAAGAAACATAGTCGAGTTTCTGAAACACTACCAAGGAAATTAAGAGAACAGTGCAGATTACTGCTATGTTTTTGGTTTTCTTTCCTCTATTTCTGTTTTTGTTTTCTGACATATGTACTGTTGAGTTGTTTTTTTATTATTTATGTTTGTTTACTTTGGGGACTGAGTTGTTTAATGTGAATCCTATGTCAAATGTATCGCTGCCACTTGTTTTATGTTATACAATTCAATAAATCTAATGTAAAAAAAAGAAAAGAAGGGTGCATCAATTTATTGGCGCCGTTTTCTCAAATTTCAAAGATCAGTGATTGGCCGATATTTGTGAAGCCGATCTTATTTTTCTCTGTAAAGGTCTAAAAATCAACCATTGTCCTCATTTCCTCTGCAGTGAGATGGTTAGCCCCGCCCACCCAGGTGTTTGCAATAGTCGTCCCCTGTTACCAACTCAGCGACTTTCTATATTTATTGACATTTCAGACAAAATCAATCGGCTTTTTAAAGATCGGACAGAAATGTGCAATCGGTGCAGCCCTAGTGTTCACCTGTCCAGAGTGAGCAGATCAGGTGACTTCCTGTGGCGAAACAGAGGAGACCCAGAAGGTTCTGGATCAGATTCTGGAGCGTTTCTGGAAGATGGCCGACGCCTGGAGATGTCTGGAGAGTTTCTGTGGGTTTCCTGTCGAATTCCTGACAGCGGTCCTGAACTGGTGGGGCACGAACAGGTGCTCGGCGGTCGGTGACCCAGATGGTGTCAGGAGTAGCAACAGAGACACCTGACCCGGAAGAGGCTCCGCCCCCTCTAGGAGGGCGGAGTGAGGGGAGGCAGGCCCTCGTCGCTCGGCGTCGCCGTGTCGTCGCTCGTCTCCAGGCTGTCCTTCAGGCTCAGCGTGCTGTCCGAGGGGGGCGGGGTCGACCCCATGGGGGGCGGGGTTCCTTCTGCAGCGACCCGGCTCGATGGGTCCGGGTTCTCGGCGGCAGCCGGGTCGGGTCCAGCTAGAGGTTGCGTGGCGGCTGCATCGCCGGCCGTGTTTGCAGCGGCCGTGTCTCCAGCCGGGTCGCCGGCCGTGTTGGGTCGGCGCGCGGCGGGCTTGGGGGCGTCGACCAGCTTCCTGACGAGCCGCCACTGCATGACGCTGGTGTCCTTCCCGCCCGTGGAGATCAGGTGGCTGTCGCTGTGCAGGAAGCTGACGTTGGTCACGTGACTGCTGTGGGCGCTGTACTTGTGGCTGGGCGCCTGCAGAGACAGCGGTTAGTCTGTCGGAACGTGCATGTCGGTTTCGGTTCTGGTTCTGGACTCACCTTGAATCTGGAGCAGGGGTAGGCGAACAGGTGAACCTTGCAGAAGTCATCCGCCAGCGCAATCACCTTCCTGTTGTGGGACCTCACCAGAGCGTTGATGTCGGTACCATCAGAACCTTCGGGCCAGACGCCTGGAACACAGCAGCTTCCATCAGAACCAACAGAACCATCAGAACCGACCCGGTCCCAGCAGAGCACTGACCGAACACGTGGTATCCCAGCACACAGGTGTAGGTGGCCCAGTCGATGTCTTTGCACTCAGAGCGGTTCCGGATCAACTGGCAGCCGTTCTGGATGTCCCCTTGAAATACACACATTATTACGTGAGAACTACGGGAGAACTAAGGGAATACTACAGGAATACTTCATTGCGGTATCAGTGTGCGTACTCACAGTAGAGGATCTCATAGTCCCCAGAGTTGGACATGATGAACTTGTTGTCAGGTGACCAGTCCAGGTGTGTGATGTAGCTGGAATGACCCTGGAGAGACATTCAGGGGAATCAGGACATTTGCATCACATGATGATAGTGGACTGGTTCTGGTCTTGGTTCTGGTCCTACTTCTAGTTCTGCTTCTGATTGGACAGAACCAAACGTGGCTGTGGTTCTGCACTCTGACCTGTTAGCCAATCAGAGGACAGGAAGCTGACCAATAGGAACTCACCGAGCATTTCCCGTAGCGGCTGTACCTGCGGCCCTGCTCCGACACGCTGTACAGGTAGATGAAGTTATCATGAGACCCCACGGCCAGCATGCTGCCATCTGCAGGATGGAGGGAGAGAGGCATGATGGGAACCGTAGTCCCTTCACATCACCATGGTTACAGTAGACTCCACCCACCGACTGAGAAACGCAGAACCGACAGCTGCTCATTGCCATCCGAGTGGATCCCGACCAGATCTTTGCTCTCGGCGTCCAGAACAAACCACCTGGAGACATGTAAGAGAGCAGAGCGACCAATCAGAAGGAGAGGGAGGCGCGTGCAACCAATCAGAAAAAACCAGAACCAGACGCAGCGATGACATTGCTGACCTTCCGGAGTGCGTTCCTATAACGACTACGGCTCCACTGGGATGGAACTCTGCACAGTGTCCGTGTTCCTGAAGGAGCAACACACCTGTCAATCCTCCAATCAATCAGCAGGCCCCAGTCACAAGTCCCGCCCCCTCACCTCCAGAGTACGGCTCCACTGCAGACTGTGATCCACAGAGTTCCAGAGACAGACCATCTGGTCCTGGGCGCAGGTCAGGAACTGCTCCCTGCTGGGGTGGGTGGCCAGACCCCACAGCTCGTCCGTGTGTCCCTGAAAGCACCGCAGAGAGATGAGACCCTGAATGATCCGCAGAGAGATGAGACCCTGAATGATCCGCAGAGACCCTGAACGCACCGCAGAGACCCTGAACGCACCGCAGAGAGATGAGACCCTGAACGCACCGCCAAGATGAGACCCTGAATGATCCGCAGAGACCCTGAACGCACCGCAGAGAGATGAGACCCTGAACACACCGCAGAGACCCTGAACGCACCGCCAAGATGAGACCCTGAACGATCCACAGAGAAATGAGACCCTGAACGCACCGCAGAGACCCTGAACGCACCGCAGAGAGAGGAGACCCTGAACGCACCGCAGAGACCCTGAACACACCGCCAAGATGAGACCCTGAACGATCCACAGAGAAATGAGACCCTTAACGCACCGCATAGACCCTGAACGCACCGCAGAGAGAGGAGACCCTGAACGCACCGCAGAGACCCTGAACACACCGCCAAGATGAGACCCTGAACGATCCACAGAGAGATGAGACCCTGAACGCACCGCAGAGACCCTGAACGCACCGCAGAGAGAGGAGACCCTGAACGCACCGCAGAGACCCTGAACAC